AAAGGAGAGGAAGCTACACCATTATATACCGTGTACTGCATCCTATTGGAGAAGTAAGAGTGCAGTCAGTTGATAGCCCAGGATTCAGTTTGTGTAAGGCTTAGCTTGTTTAACAAAAGGCCTCTAGGTACAGAGTCGAAAGCAAATGTGTAATCAAGGAACGTACAATGGACATACTTGGCCCCTTTGTCTAAGGAGGATACAATGTTGTGATGAAACACAGCAGCACCATCCAAAGTACTTCTACCCTGTTTGTAAGCAAACTGCTTTGGATCATTTGAGAAGCTTAAGGAGGGAACAAGTTTTTGTGTCAATAATTTCTCCATTAGTTTCAAAAAAGGAGAGGTAATAGCAATAGGTCTAAACTTAACACTATTTCCAGAACCCGACTTGGGTACATGGATGATGTTGATATCTTTCCACAGAGAAGGTACAACATTATTAGAAAAAGAAGTATTGAAAATGTTTGTAAGTGGGTTACTTAAAATATCAGCACATTTCTTTAGGACAATGACAGGTATACCATCAGGGCCTAGACTCTGGGATGGTTTTAGAGATTTTAAACATTTAAGAACATCAGAAGTATTGAAACTATGAAAGTCACCGGTCGTGTTATTAGTTAAATTGAAGGCAAAAGGGGAATTTGGAGGGCGGATAAAAGATCTATTGAGAGTATTTACATCAATAGAAGAGGCAAAATTATTATGCTTACCACAACCTGTAATTTCTCTAAAAAGCTTCCATATGTTTTCTGAAGTTTTACAAGACAGTATTGTTTGATTATAAATATTGTTTAGTCTCTTGATTTCAGATTTAATTTGGATGTTTATCTTCCTGTGACCAGATTTATTCTTTGTCTTGTACAGCTTCTCTCTTTCTCTTCGAAGCTTTTTGAAACGAGACGATAATAGTCCTGAGAAAGAGGAAAGGTTGACCGTGAGACTAGCAACCTTATCCCGCAATAAAGAACACCACTACTGAAACTTTTAGACTCTAAACTCCATGTCCCACTTGGGATGCAAGGAAATAAAAAATTCCAATCACTTTGAATTCCACGAAGGATAATCTGTTTTCTTTATTATTCATTAATTGTGAATAATCATAAAAGCTACTAGGAATGTTTTGACTAAGTCGCATATAAATGAAATATCTTCTAAACTTTTATCTTAAACAGTGTTTTGTAAGTCTCATTGTTGACTGTTTTAGAAATATAATACCTACCGATTTTCAACATATATTACTAAGAAGATATTCTCTGAGCAACTACGATAGTTAGAACTTAAAAAAATAACCGATATGTTTACGAAAGCCTTCTTCTCATTATATCAGGGCCTTTGTAATTTAGTCGAATTGCAACTATGGGCATCATCATCGGACAAAGCAGAGAATAGCAGTCAAACCTCCACCTCAACTTCGAAAAGGCCTTAGACGACGTTGACCGAGAGGTAATTTGGAAACTACTTCAACACTACGCGTACCTCAAGTCTTTATCAACCTCATCAACAGCTATATCATAATGACACGTGTCAGGCGATCCACAACAGAAAACTCAGCGAAGGCTTTGAAGTGAATGCAGGAGTAAAACATACTGGCCGCCTATTATCACCAATGATATTCCTAATTGTGGTGGATTGAACCAGGCGTCATACTCTGCGTGGGGAGTGAGAAGACAGGAATACACTGGGTGAGTATAAAGACTCTAGAAGATCTGCATTTAGCAGATGATTTATGTCACACAGACTCGAAGACTTACAGGCGAAAACGAACAAACTATCAGAAGAAGCAGCGACAACAAGACTCCAGGTGAACATAAAGAAGACGGAGGTGATGAAGATAACCAACGAACCGCAAAAACCTTCACCAGTTACCATCAACGGGAGAAATTTAACCGAGGTCACCTCCTCCACTTATCTGGCCAGAAAGTGCGGTCGGAACGTATGAAGATGTCAAAGTCAGCCAGAATCGGAAGGGCAAGATACACCTTCATCAATCTGTAACCAATTCGGAAATTTCCTGCACTCAGCATAAACAACAAGATTCACATTTTAAACACCAATGGGAAGTCAGTCAGTGCTCCTATATGGGTCAGAAACCTGCACTGCGTGTCACGAAAAGCATTTCCATCAGGTTACAGACTTTTACCAACAGCTGCCTTCGCTCCACACTGAATATCAAATGACCGGTCAAAAAGAAACAGCCACAAGAAACTCTGGCGATGAACAAATCAACCAAGAGTCGATCGCTCAACAAATATGTAGGAGAAAAATGGAGATGGGTCGGGTATACTTTGAGGAGATTGTCAAATGTAGGTCATGTTAGAAGGCGATAATGTGTAATAGGCAATCGTGTACCCAGATGAATAGGACGCAGAAAATAGTAGAAGGTCCAGATATTTTGATGAAGCCCTATTTTCCATTCGTAACCCTCAGGAATAATATTTATACTTTTTAAGGTATATTTCTCAATTAGTAACCGTATGACTTACATTACCTGTTAGATATGATAGAGAAGATTTGTAGCTCAGGTGGATGATTTTGATCACCTGTATCTGACTATTTAGCGTCACTGTTCAGCTACTGCTATTTTGGCCAGATGTTGTTGAACCGTGGTTTCAGTTTTGCGAGTCTGACTTCAGTGAACATACGATCAATGACCAATGTTCAGCGTTTCATGCGGTTATCCGTGCTCTGCCGCGGGAACTAAGCGAATGCGTTCATATATCAAGCCCAGAGATAAGCTTAAAGTATTCCTCCTGAAGAGAAACGACCTTACAAATCACCAGAGTCTTGACGAATTATTTTGCAACGTCGGGTTAGGTGATCCGTCGACTGTGAACATGCTTGTGAGAATGTAGGAAGTTATCGGCCGACGTCACTACGATGAGGGACTTTCCAGAGAGCTCGATACGACTTGATATGTTTATGAGCAATAGTTTGTGCTCGAAATGTCATTAGTTAATACTACTCTATTACTCTGTGATTTATCAAAATAAAATCTTATCTGTAATGCAGTGACAATCTACCACAGTACCCAAGTTTTATACTTATACCTTAAGAGAGCTGTTCTTTTCCAAATTGCCGCGGTCAATACAAGCTGTTCTCGTGACATTCAAAGGTGTCATTATAGACGATTTAGCCATTTCTGCTGATAGCATTCTAGAAATAACAAAACGGCAAGTTACTTAAATGCTCTCATTTGCTAAACAGTCTTCGAGCAGCGATAGTGCATTGATAGAGTTACGCAACTTCGTCCAGCGACTACTGAGGTTGAATGGTTCCTGTCAATGTAGTTGAAGAATGAACGATCAATTCATGATTGTTGACTCAAAACCAACTTCATATTTCGGCGGGAGTCACCGATACTGCAGTTCGTTAGAAGACGGAGAAATACTATTAGAAGTATTATTGTGACTAATTGTTATGACATTTATTCTTAGATTTTGTGTATAATAATCTTATTGTTCGCTCCATATTGGTGCGAGAATAAAGGATTCTCGAGTCACCAATCTGTGTTCTGATTTTTCGCGTTGGTTATTGAGCATTGTTGCTCAAGGTCAATTAATCAAAAGAGCATGTAGGTAAGGCTGGAGCATCAGATATTTGTAAGTTAATTGTTACCAATCTCCATCCGTAATTATCTGCCAATACATATCCTCTCTGAGTAAATTTGCCTACTTTTCGTCCTGGTGTTTGCTGAAACTAAGAGAATAAAAAGTGTGTTCTAGGTCTTACTTCATTTTTTACATTAATCTCGATCTCTTCATTTCATTGTTCTATGCTTCTGAAGAACCTGATAACTTGAACAAACGCACTTTGAGCAGCTGTGTCGTAATACTTATCCATCTCCTGGCCTTAAAATATTTGTGAGATAGGTCTAGCCTAGGATCAATCCACATGAGCACCGTTAGTCGTAATCTCAACCTCAATCAATTTACCAGTTATGAAGTATTTTAGTTTTCCGGAACTTGAGGTTGAAATTTCCGATGGAATATAAAAGCATAAACCGACTGTCCCTTGAGAAAACTTTAATAAAAGCTTGTGCACATAGTTATATTCTGGCAAAAAATAAGATTTTCTCAAGTATGATGTCATACAATTGCGTCAACGCATCACTCAGTTATTTTCCATTGATTCATGTGGTATCAGGTGGGATAGACTCCAAACTGGTTTTTGTTCTTCATTTTCCATAAATGATTTTCTAATAGATCGCAGTTGCCAGAACTGTGAACATTGAATAAAAAATGAAATAAATACTCACACCTTTCTCATCACAATAAATAAAAACGAATCGATCAAACCAGCCATCTTAATTTGTGATTGAATTAACAGAAAATTGACCACGGTGGTAAATAATGTATTTATTACAATGAGATTTCCTGTGCAAACCAGTTTACTGAGTTCACAACCATATCTGTTTACAGATTAAAATACGCAATCACTTTGTGAGAAACTACTTGCTACACCGTAAGTTCTCTCAGTTTGAGACCTACAAAACTGACGAATACACGCGGTAACCCGAAGGTCAGATTGCGCTTGTTATTGGAGCTTTAAACTTATCAAAATAAACTTCTCTCATGAGAATTAAAAAATCATGTGATTCACCAAAAGAACAAGCCCATAGACCAAATAAACTTCGTGAATTCGATGTGACTTATTGACAGACACAAATTTCCAATTCACGTGGAAATTGAGATAGAACACAATTTGAACAACAGTCAGTTTACTCAGCGCACAGAATGCGAGAACTTCGCTTACAGAATTTATCTGAATTCTTTGCGGAATTGATACTAGCAAAAGTAGAACAAACGCATGATCAAGCCTAAATATTATTTACCATATCCTAGTAAAAATCACCCTAATTCCAAAAATAGCACACAATTATGACGTGCGGCTATGAAAAGTGTAAAACGCCTGGTGTAACAGGTAAATTGCATATGAGTTAGACTCTATGCCAAAATCAAATTTAGTGTAACAGATACCGCTGAGCAGAGTAGAACTCACCTGCATACGGCCATCAACAGAGGCTACAGCAGTAGTCACCTCATTTAACCGATCAACGGTGAAATTGACAGGATATGCTTGTTTTGGACGTCTGGACGAAGCAGCAGTCGCTACAAGAACATAAGAGCAGCTGCTGTTATCTAGTTCGTAGGTTTCTTTGCAAGTTTTCTGAATCATATTAGATGAATGAGCATAAAAGTCCATCGCTAAGGCAAGCCCACGACGAGCATACACGCTCAAATTACCATTTTCGTGTAGACAGATGATAACATCACGTTGAGTGCAAGAATAAACCTGTAAATTGCAAGTACACTTTGTGTTATCACCTATAAATTTCTGGTTATCAATTATTTCAAAACATTTAAATTAAATGGGGATTTTATCCGATTACGTTTGGGTTAACAGACAATGACTTCATTAAAAAATATATAACTGATACGTCTTTGAACTTATGAATTGATGAGGAAGTGACTAAACACAACAATATGAATTCAATGCATGATACCCAGATTAGTGGTCTTTAACTTCAGCACTCATAAGTTCATAGTAATAAGGGGTGCTAAAAATTTAGACTCGTATAATGGAGTTAGACTGCCAAGTCTATCTACAGGCTAGACACGTCACTATCAAGGCAAGCGTCTGGCCATTTAAATATACTTCTTGGCTATATATTTTACTTGTAAACAAGTCATACACAGCCACAATGGGTTCTTATGCAGGAAAAATGGTATGATATTAAGGTTGCTATTTCAAAAATCATAACTATCGATTCCCCAATCACACTAAGCTATAAAACTTGAATATAAGAAACAAAAGTTAAAAATGCTTTTTATGGTTTTAACAAACTTACACGTGAAAAAGATGGCCGAGAGCGATCCAGAGAAATAACACCAAGAGGGTGAATTACTGCTAGGTTCACGAAAACAATCTCCCGCTTGAAAACAAATAACACACAGTCCTTGTTATATCCATGATAAGTAACCTGTAAGCATATCTTTTTAGGTGTTGTTCCTCCCTTATCGCTTGAAGTATCCCATGTCCTAAGTGGAAATTAGGTAAACAGCTTCTCAAAGCCACATCAAAGAAATAGTGCAAACTACATAGTACCTGAGTCGCTCTATTACTTCATTAATCATCATGTAATGATGAAACAGCGTATCAGACATGCTCAATAAGTATGAAAAATAATGGTTAAAGAAAATGGATGTACTTACAAGTCCTATGAAGTTCATGAAGTCTTTACAAAAACAACAGTGGATTCATAGCACAACTTTTACATGGCGATTCATTTAAACCTTAGTAAGTGGACTTCTGTAATACTTCGATGATTACATTTTTTAGTTTTATCTAACTCCGATATTTACTTAATTTAAATTTACCAACGGTCTAATTAACTCAATTCACCATAAACTTCGATAAATAAACACAAAAGATGGAACAGAACATAATTAACAACATGTTTGCTTCATACATATATTCCCCTTTACGAATTTGAACAAAGCAAGAATAAGTTTGTGCAAAATAAGATGGCACCGTCATTTACACACAACCTTCGCATTCCAATCAACAAACTGAGCTCTTATAAGTTTCCCAAACACTGTTTCGACGCACCTTTGCAGGAGCGGACATAGATGTAAGAAATAGTCAGGACAAATAAGACTGCAATTAATAATTACTGAGTTCCTTAAGAACGAATATTATTATAAATCTAACAATCCTCTGTATCTCAGGAAAATACACCATCTTATGGCAACCTTGTATTGATGCTATGAGCGTAAACATCATGATCTTGTGACAGTAGATGGATGTATGAACTAACGGTGTTGGCCTACTTCCATAAAAGCTAGAATGAGACGACTGTAACACTCCGCAAATACGCCATATTCAAATATACTAGCTTCGGCCTGGTAGGCACATAGCAATGTGCAGCTTAGATTGCAAACAAGGAGTGTAACTTCTTACCTTTCTGAAATTCCCATACTAGAAATCCATCCGCTGATGGCCGATTTTACAGATGTCACTCCCGTCCCTGTCCCTTGACAGTCAGTTTCAGTGTGAAAAGCTTTAACATCACCAAATACAAGAGTATATTAACTAACAAGAACAAACCAGTTCCATGTGTGGAGTCCTCAAAAAGAAACTTATCCAAATTTTACTACTATGTAAATAATGAACATATTGTACACTACTTTGTTTTAACCATAAACTCTGTACTTTGACTTTACCTCGGGTTTTGAATAAATATATAGTTCTACTTTCGACTCTCCGTCTTCTCCACCATCTCAACTGCCGTCGATCAATCCTAATCACCTGCTTTCTATCTCTGATTTTTGCAGGAGCACCGTAGTTTCTTCCTACGTACTTTGGTCGACCTCCGGCAACGTTAACATTGGAGAATTACTACTGGAGCAGTCTTTCCGCAGCACCTGGAGTCTATTACGTTTATTGTGGACTGTGGACCTTTGTAAACTCAAGTAATCAAACTTTAATACATTCTTCCCGTAACTAAACTCATTTGGTATTTTATTTTCTACTTGAATTTGGGTAACTAAGCTAATAGAGTGAAAAGGTCCACCACAATAATTGGTGAGCCCGTTTCGAACCCTTTTTTTATGGTTAACCCGTTTTCGAACCTTTTTGTTTCGATAGTTACCTCGTTTTGAACATTTTTGTTGCTATTTTGTCCTTATAAACTCGCACTGCTTTAATTTTTGTTACCACAAGTTTTTCTATTTTGTATATCTATATACTTACATATTATATGACAATGGCTCCACCTAAACGTACCACTGTTGCTGAAGAAGGTAATAAAGGCGAAGAGACACAGAACTCTGCTGTTAACGCCTTGCCGGATTTAAGACTTCCTCAATTTGATCTGGCTGAACCACGTGTCTGGTTCACAGTCATTGAACAGTTGTTTGCAGCTCGAGGTATTACGTCGCAGATCGCCATGTATGGTTGCGTATTAGCAGCAATTCCCACGGAAGTACTACGAGAGGTTATCGATGTCATAGACAGCAAACCTACAGACTCTCAATATGACAAACTAAAAGCTGCACTCATCCAGCGGACCACTCTCTCCGATGAGAAACGCATACAACAACTACTTACTTCGTGTGATCTAGGTACAAAAAAGCCATCTCAACTACTTAGACATATGCGCCAGTTGATTGGGTCACACAAAGTAGATGAGTTAATTCTACGTCAGATGTTCTTACAACGTTTACCACAAAATGTTCAACAAATCCTAACAATATCTTCTAGGACGACAGACCTTGAAGAATTAGCTAAAATGGCAGACGATATCATGGATGTGTTATCAAATAATGGCATAAATAGCGTGTCTACCGAGGCAGTACCACCAAGCCCTTCCACATCTATGAAGGACGCACCAATGTTTTGGTTACTTTCCCAGTTAACATCTCAAATGCAAGATTTACGACTGGAAGTGTCCGAGCTTCGAGCACAAAGGAACCAGTCACATACGGTATCCAAGCAACGGCGATCAAGATCTAGACGACGTTCTAGAACACCGTCTCAAAGCCGTAACATTTGTTGGTATCATAGGAGGTATGGGCATAATGCCCTGAAGTGTATTCGACCGTGTATGTACAACAGTAGTAACTCATCTCAGGGAAACTCCCCAGCCAGACAGTAATGGCGACGGCTGTTAATGGCAATCACCCCAGTCGCCTTTTCTATGTGAGGGATTTGACTACCGGCACATTATTCCTGGTAGATACAGGCGCCGAGGTCAGTGTTATTCCCCCCTCACTATCCAGGCGATCAGCCAAAATACCTGGAAAACTTTCACTCCGTGCTGCCAACCAAACCAACATACAGACGTATGGCGAACAGTCAATGATTTTAAATTTAGGACTACGCCGACGTTTCACATGGATCTTCATAGTAGCTGACGTACGTCACGCTATACTAGGTGCAGACTTCCTAAGTCACTTCAATCTGTTAGTTGATATCAGCAAGAAAAAACTGGTTGACAATTGCACCCAACTCAAGATCCATGGTATTACATGTGACTACTCGGTTCATAGCATCTGTATAGAAAAGCCGGAGAGTGAAATGTTCTCTGCTTTATTGAAACGATTTCCTAAAATCCTTAAACCATCATACAACGTCGAAGATATATCTCATACAGTTACGCATAAGATCATCACAACAGGACAACCTGTGAAGGCACGTCCACGACGGTTACCACCCGATAAACTAGCAGCAGCTAAGTCGGAATTTGAACATATGATGCAGTTAGGTATCATACGACCATCTAACAGCCCATGGTCTTCACCTTTGCACATGGTACCTAAAACTAATCATGACTGGCGACCATGTGGAGATTATCGCGCTTTGAATAACGCTACGGTCCCAGATCGTTATCCTATACCTCATCTCCACGACTTCTCCTTGACCTTACATGGAAAGACCGTTTTTACCAAAGTTGACTTGGTCAGGGCATATCATCAAATACCAGTCGCTCCAGAAGACATTGCAAAAACAGCAATTATCACGCCTTTTGGATTATTCGAATTCTTGAGAATGCCTTTCGGACTAAAGAATGCTGCTCAAACATTTCAGCGTTTTATGGACCAAGTTACCCAAGGTCTTGATTTCGTCTTTGTATATATCGACGATGTCTTAATTGCCAGCTCATCGATGGAAGAACATATGCAACACTTAAGCCTGTTATTTCAAAGGTTTGAACAATTTGGAGTTGTTATCAATCCAAAGAAATGTATTTTTGGTTCCCCTTCCATTGAATTCTTAGGACATCGAATAACTGCCGAAGGCATCAGACCTACCGAAGATAAGATAGAAACTATTAAGAACTTTCCCGAACCTGATTCCTTAAAGAAACTTAGACGTTTTCTCGGGATGTTCAACTTCTACCGACGTTTTATTCCATCATGTGCCTCCATAGTTCAGCCACTGACCGACCTACTTAGATGCAATTCGAAGAAATTTCAGTGGTCTGAAGAAGCAAAAGCAGCATTTAATAATGCAAAAGATGCCTTATCCAACGTTGTAATGTTATCTCATATCAACCCAGAAGCTTCACTCATTTTATGTACAGATGCATCGCAGGTAGCAGTGGGAGCAGTTTTACAACAAAAGTTCAATAATGACATCACTCCACTTGCTTTCTTCTCCAAGAAGTTGGAACCTGCGCAAACTCGTTACAGTACCTTTGG